ATGATAATCCAGCTGCCACGAGTATTTCAGCCTTTTTTCCCACTTGATAAGAGACTCATGTCCCATCAACCTACACAGCCAATCAGCCGTCATGTCGTTGAACCAGTAGCTACTGAACTGACAGACAGTGCCCCCCTCGTACATTAGCAGACCGTACCCTGTTGTGCTGATTCGCTGGCTCTCATCCAACAGGTAAAATCTGCTCCCAATGATTCCTGAAATTATAGTAAAGCTATCATAACTTTAATTTTATTACGGACTACTGAACGAGCGTTAGGGATCGTTTTGTTTACCCCCTCCGTAATAACTTCTACACAAAGCTATTGTGTAAATATTACATGAGCGTGTAGGCTGAGCTCACACAATATCTTAACGGTCCACTAAAACGGAACCTCAAATACGATGCTATAGTCTACATATTGTATTAATTACGTAAAGATTGGATATATTTCGAAAACACATTACAAGCGAGCACGATTTGTTGAGGAATCTTTGTAGATATTGATACACGCATCGAGAATACAAACTCAAAACTCCTCAACCAATCCGTAGATTGATATATCAATAAATTGTAATTTTTACCTCTTAGGGAGTCGAGAATTAGAATCCAAAAGAAGACCATGATTACCATCCTATCCAGCTTCAATGAAAAGACACAAAAGAACACGGTCCAGTCGAAAGCTCGATTTTCTGGTTTTCAGATGGTATGTACGATCTGATCAGGAATTCAACAAGGCAGAACGTAAATATTTCCCTCGGTCTTGGTAACATGTACCTATAACTGACAGATTTACACTTAGGTTCTGTTCATCTTAAAGCGAAATCTAAGAAATTGTAAAAATTCGATGTTCAAAATATGATCATATGTTGAAACGAAAGTAGAGTGAAGAAAGTAGGAATATCGACAAAGCATCATAAGTTGAATTGATAACTTTGAAAGGCTGTGCTTAACCGATCGAAATATTTACCGAGTATTGATAACACAGTGAATGGATGTAACTTATAAATATAAGATACGAACAAAGCTATTGTTTTTATAGCTTTCTAGCTAGTTATTGTAAATAATTATAACACCCACACCGGCCACACAGAGTTTTAATCAGTAGTGACCATCATTAAAATAATGGAGACTATTATTTAATATAACTCTCGGATAATTTGATCGGGAAACAATATAACAAGCCGATTTTACTAAAAAAGGACATTTGAATTAATGAAACATCAAATCATGAGACTCAATAACACTATTTCAGTTCGCAGTAAACCAATTTGTATTTGCACTGTTTTTTAGCTCGCTTATCAGTGATCGTTATCAGTGAAAGTGTTACTCGCCACGTCGACTTTCAACAGCGCCGACTGTGTAGCATGGATTTTTCAGTGGACCGGCTCAACGCGATGGACCATGAGATGACATCAGAATTTCAGAAAATATTCAAGGTTGCCAATGTTTCATGTAGATCTGACTTTACTGAGACCGCTTTAATGAAACTTAACAAAAATCCACTCGTCAAAATCATCGGCAGCTTAATGAAATTGGCGGAGAAGAATATTGAACTTTGGAAAAGTGCTGCTGGGAAAATTGATGTCATGAAATCGGAGAAAATAGCGGATCAGAAACTAATTATTGAAACTCAACAAGGACAGATGAATTCAGTTCAGGAGACAGTTAAATCAGAAATGAAAAGTTGGACGGATGTTGTCAAGAAAAACACTGCTCAGCGTCCTAGCGGGAAACCTTTAACAGAAAACTCTATCAAACAAGCCGTAAGGACTGTAAATGAAGAGAAGAAACGATCGAAGTACTTGATGATCTACGGTTGCCATGAAAGTGATAAAGAAGCCGATTTTGAGCTCAACAAAGTTGTCAAGGACATACTTTACGGAACTGACGCTTTCCCCGTGCTCCGCACTGGTGAGGTCTACAGAATCGGAAGGAAGGAACCGGGTAAGAATAGGCCTATCAAGGTTGAATTTGGTTGTGCCAGTGAGGTAGACTTGATTTTGATGCGTGCACGAAACCTCAGAGACAGTGACGTTTTCAAACATGTTTATTTGGGACCGGACAGAACCAAAGAGGAACAGCTTGCGCATAGTAAACTTGTTAAGGAGAAGAAACAGATGATCCAGAAAGACTCAAATAAACATTATTTCATACGCGACAGAAAGATCTGCACGGCTGATAAAACCTTATCATCTCAAACGTCCCAAAGCTCCTGATAAGAGTTAATGTATGATGTATGTTGAGTGTTATTTGGTGCTGACTGGAGTTGCCGTGTGTAGATTTACCACTTTTTACAATTAATAAATGAACCGCGTTGAAAGCTTATTTAGTGTGTTTTTTTCAGTGCTGAGACTGGTAAATGTTAAAGTAACAGAACCTGAACTGCAACTCATATTTTTATGCTATTTTCTAGTTACGTCGACACACAAGGCTAAATAGTTTTCGGAGGCCTGCTAGAATTTTATTCTCTATGTTTCTCTATAATTTTATATTGTATGTTTTTTTTTATATTTCGGTACAGACCAGCGCCCATTGGGCGTATTCAATCAATCTATACAAATTTCTACCAGATTACATATTTGCTGTTTAGCTGATCAGTCGCTGGTGCTGCTACGATAATGAATAAAATTTGGCTTACTAATAATATGAAAGTCTCTTTGCTGCTCGGAACTGAACACTGAAGAGAGACTGCAGATCATGTGTTAAAATGAGCAAACTATCTGCTGGTTCCTTGATGTGACAATTAGCAAGGCACCGGCTACCATGAGCCTTACTCTACACTGGTTGTAATTAGAAATGAAATCTTTTAGTATAACGATCTTCACTGCAAACGAAACAAACTTATGCCAAGTTCTAAAAGTAAATTCATTATTCAAAGAACTAGGCAGTGAATTTGTAGTTGTACGTGTCTTTTAATATTCGAATGCTGTTGTTGTTAGTAATTCGTAGCCATTTGTACGACCGATAAACTCACAACACAGGATTAGATAATGTATGTAATGTTGCTCTTGAATAATTTCTATTTAAAGACCCTGCCTGAAACCTTATGCTCGAGCCATTAATTTCTTACCTGGGGACTCCAGGTTATAATAAAGATTCGGCGGAATGACAGGCTGAGCGCCGCCCAGTAATTAATGTCTCGATATGCCGGTCCTCTGAGGAAAGGGAGTGAAACTGCAAGGTAAACTAAAAGGCCCGTGAGATTCATTAAATTGATTTACACTTACACATGAGGCTGGTAATAGAGAGAAATAAAATCACGGTATGTATAATATAGATCATCACAATATAATATAGATCATCAAAAATGAGTTCAATGCATATTACTATTAAATTGATATTCAAGATTAATTCCTGAAATTTGATCGAAAATCAGTAATTTCGTGTAGAATTATTCAATGTTAAATGATCATGAATAATAAGGGTAATTGTAAATTGATTGATTTTATCTAGAATTGTTCAGACTCATGGAAATCACCTGATAAGTGATAAGGTGCGACGTTGAATATTTTAATTTCCAATGTTGATGCCGCCAATGTTATGTAATATGCTTAATTGCATAAATATAAGTGACCAATTAGTCATTCACCTGTGGATGGCATATATATTTATATAATAAGAGTAAGACACAATATTGAGGTACTTGAAGTTTAACACTGAAATTTCACAGATTTTGCGGCATATTTGTCCAGTGACCAATTCACCAAATAATTCAAAAATCAGTCAAATTTGAAATTTCGGCCAAATACATTTTATTTCCAATATTTGAAATTGGGAAAAAATAAGACAATATGATTTTACCATTTCGCAATATCTTCTCCGGGAATATATCTCAATTGTGTCTTATGCCATCCATAGTTTCGGCCAAGGAAATTTTATATTTGAAAATGTACTACTATTATTATACCGGTAGTGGTGCTTTTCCTTTTTGTAAAAGCTTATACATTTGAAAATAGGACAGCTTAATAATAGTCCATCTTCGAAGCTTTCTCCGGAAGCTTTCTCCGGAATTCTAGCTTCCAGTACTACAATCCTGTCTCGTGAGTGAAGTTTATCAAGCTTAAGTCGGGTGACATCACAGACGTTAGACCGAAAGTTAGAGATATTCAGATAACAAATGATGAGCGACTTTGTGCAAACTACGGCAGTATCTAAATATCCCGACCCCTGTCCGCGGACAAATGTCCACGAACAGGTGTTCGTGTTACCAGATCATATTACTGCATAATAACAGTCACCGCGTTTTCTGACAGTCCCGTTATCTGTGATATCGTAATGCCAGCTAGTCCTTTTATACTCAAACAGAACAGCAGCTGTAAAAAGGTCTTGAGAGCGAGCTTCTGTCCAGAGAGGATGCTGTCTGTTCTGATATTTTTGTACTTCTTGCAGGGGGAGCAGCGCCATATCAGTCCGTCTGGACACTTCGAGGACGAGCAGGGATCCCATCCAGGATTGAAGATTCTCGGCGGACATTCATAACAACGCAATTGTTACATTTGGAGCGGGCACGAGGAGCATGAGCAGAGGAGTTAGCAAGATCTCCGGCACACTTGTCGAGAGGCGAGATAGGTTTGCAGATAGGGTCGCAGGGTAGGGCTGAGTTCATCCGTTTCGTTTTCTCTGAGACCATAGTTGTAGTTGTTCAAGAAGGACTAGGAGTTGATGATAGAAATGATTGATGCTCGTACAAAGCTTATTCCAGATTCCACTTTATACTCAAATTAATTAAACGTATTTCTAACGATTGTGATGGTAAGGTTGCAATTTTTAAATATAATATAGTAAATCCCCAAGTTACTGCGCCCCAATTTACCGCAAACCCCGATTTATCGCAAACCCCGATTTATCGCAAACCCCAATTTACCGCAAACTACGCGGTTAGTTGAAGTTTTACTGTAGTGAACTGCAGAGTGCAGATGAAGTAGGTTGCCTCATGATTCTACTATATTTATCGAGTTAGTTACATTGATAAATCAGCGTTTGTTTGTGGGTGATCCAACAAAAAGTTTTTTGCTCTACTGAGCACAGAGCAATCAACAAACTTATCCGTATCAACAAATTTTCGTGATTTTTATGATAAAGCTTAAAATTGTACAATAATTCACTTATTAACCTAAACTATTAAACGAACACGTGTCATGTATGATGATGTATGATATCCAGTTCATGATTTATTACAACTAAACAACTTGAACTATGCTATTCTGATTTTAATGATGTATTAAAACTCATGTTCGCTTGATCCAACAAAACTTCAAACATCCCAGTTTCGTTGACTAAATCGTAGAAGATACTTTCAGGTCTTTTCAGAAGCAATGCAGGGTGGTCAAATTCAGCTAATTTACCCTCGTCGATCACCATTATACGGTCGCTATCAATAATGGTATTGATTCTGTGAGCTATGGTGAGGACAGTGCATTTAGAAAACTCTTGTCGGAGAGTCTGCTGGATCAGTTGGTCAGTTAGCTGAAATTATATAATTTGTTATAAATAAGGTAAGGTGGCTAATTCAAGAGATTTGACATGATATTTAAAATATAAGATCTTAGTTTGCTACTAAGATATACCAACAATTTTCGAAAAATTCAACTCTGATCAACGAGCCAAATTAGATAATTCATGATTTATTGTTCAGCGTTGCATAATATGGAGTCATCCCTAGCGTAGCCGGTAACACATTCATTCAGAATCGATGCAAAATCCCTACCTCGTCAACATTAGCAGTAGCCTCGTCAATAACCAGAAACTTGTTGTCCTTCAGTAAAGCTCTAGCGAGACACAACAGCTGTCTCTGACCAGCTGACAGATTCCCACCACCCTCCTGGACCATCATCTCCAGACCTCCAGTCTGGGCTGAAACGTAGGACTTCAACTTTACCTTCTCTAGCGCGTCCCACAAGTAATCATCACTGAACTCAGAAAATGGATCAAGATTTACTCTCAGAGTTTCTGAAAACAAAAGACTCTCTTGAGGGATTATGCTGATTGATCTTCTGAGTTCATGAAGACCCATTTCTCTAGTCAACATTCCATCTAGCAGTATTTCACCTTCTGGCTCAACCATTCTGAAGAGAGCTTGAAGTATGGTACTTTTACCTGCACCAGTTCGACCAACAATACCTATCTTCTCACATGGTTTGGTTAAGAAGGATAGATCACGGAGAATGTAATCACCCTCAGGGTCGTACTTCAAGCTAACGTTTCTAAACTCTATTACACCACTGGTAGCCACTTTATTCCTCACAACTATTGTTCTCTTATCTGTAACCTCTAAAGGAGCCTCTGATGGCAAATCAGCAAACATATAAATCCTCTCCACAGCAGTCATCATGTTTTCTGTCTCAGTATATTGTCTTATGCACCACTGGAATCCGTTGACCATGTTGGTTATATAAACCACAGCTAAACCTGCTACTGAGGCACCCACGACTTCTTTGAGTAGTACAGCTAGAAATGTAGCAATTACACAGTTTAAGACAGTAAGACAATCAAGACGCAAGGAAAACCAATGACTAGCAGCTTGAAATAATATCCAGCAACGAGTGTGTTCATCCCTTGCGTGGTAGTGCTTTGACTCGAATATTTCTATCTGAAACGAACGTTATCATAAAAATGCGCGGTAATTTCGATTAAGGAATGACATGACGGCCCCAACGTTAATGTGGCTCTTGCTATGTGTTGGTTCAGAATTAATTGTTAAATGTTATATAATCTAGTTTATTTTTTTAGTTCAGTTTATAGTTTTCATCCGGCCACACAGTATGCAATTATTAAAATATTTGTTGGTGTATAGTTTAACTTTAAAAGTAAAAACCTGATTGTTGGCACGAATAGTGGTCATTCCAGAAAGGGTTGCCGAAATGTGTGACAAGATGGGACTACGTTCTGAAAAACAAATCAGTTAAAACTGCTTTCATTATATTATATCAAAAATAGATAAATCGTTTCATTTAATTGTTTTATATTTATTTCTTATGCTTATAGTGTTTTTGCTCCTAGTGTTTTTACAATGAAAATACTTACGTGAAGCCTCAATTCGTCGTATTTCAACAGACGTTCGAAGATAGTAACGGACAGTATATAGCAAAGTGGTGACTAACAAAATGAGGGGTATTATAAACCAGTAGTTGGCAATAACAGCTAGCCCTACTGATGCTGAAAATGTAACAGAGTTAAATAAACCAATTTCAAGTTGATCAAAGATAATTAGCGATAATTGGAACGATCAAAAATTTAATGTGATTAAAAACGTATGGATGTTCAATTGAAGTTGGAGGAATTTTTACCTGAAAATATCAGAAATAATCCTAAAAAGTCCAATGAAACGTAGGATAATCGTTCGTCCATAAAATATGTGTCCTTTGTGAACCGTTGATTATCGTTCCTGCAGGATGGACCGTATTAACTTTAAGAAAACCAAATGTTTCGTCAAAAGAAGCTAACTTAATTGTAACATTAAAAGACTAGACGGCAAAAATCGACGAAATTGATATTACCTATTGGGGTAGTGTCAAAAAGTCTTGTTGGGGATCTCAGAATTGCGAACAGTGCTTCATTGTGAAGTTTTTTTCCTGATCTGAAAGAAACAGGATAGATAAATACACAATATACAAGTGCTGAAAAAGATATCGCTGTGTAATGTGTTCGAAAACTGTGGTTAGTTAAAAGGATCAAACCTGTATATAAGTGATATGTAAACTACTGATCGTCCAATAAATAAAAGGGTTGCACCAATAGCTAAGCAAACGTATGTTTCAAAGTGCGTCTTATCAAAATGTTCCATTTCCTTTTTTGTCAAGTTAACCCTCAATACGTGTCTTTCGTTCAGCCTGTTGTAGATAACATTACAAAAAATTCATGAGGACATCAAATCACTTGTTTTGTTTTAATTTTAGTTCGTATACGAATCAATTTATTATGTTATAATATTTACTAACCATTCTATAGCGTACTGTTGTTGATATATGCTGAGAATTTGAGGCGCTACCAGGATAACCAATAATATGGGAATAGCGATGTATCCGATACTTAAAGTCGCGTATCTGAGAAGAGATTAACTGAGTCAGACATAAAACACTTATAAAAATTGATTATGTTATTATACAATACAAGTGGAAAATTATACAAACTTGAAAACGGAAACTGTTAACATGATATAAGTTGAAATACTAACTTGATGTAAAGCATCTTGTTCAAGGTACCGGTCTTTTTTTCCTCTTCACGTTGAGCTGGCTTCTTCGTCTCATTTATATCCGAATCCTGTAACGTTATATTTTTGATAATAATAACATCGTACATTATAGGGTTTGCGTATTACCGTTTCTCAGCCGATCTATTACTATTAGTTCTTGTTGTGATAATAAATTTAAAAAAATACCTGATCAAATTCAGCATCATCTGTTCCGTAGGATAGTTTTGAGATTTTTCTAATCCTTCTGCTTTTCTTGTCTTCAGAACCGAATATCGACAATTTCAGTCCTAGAATAGACTCGTTAGTTAGAATATGATAAATCAATTGAGACTTGAACTTTTTCATGCAGAGCTTAATATATACGTTTTATCCATACAGTTTCCTTTTTAAAAACTGGCCATATTAGAGATGTTCAGACACTTAAACGGTATTACAACAGTTTTTACACTTTACAGTTAACTATTCATGAAAATAAGTATTTTGTATATAATACACCACCTTTAGAAACGAGTTGAGAGTAGGTTCCTACGTGGCTTATTTTACCCACAACTTTAGTTTTGTTACCATCAGTTACAACCTCTGTATCCATGACAACTATGCGGTCAACTTCGCTTAAGAAGTGAGTGGCATGGGTTACAAGAATGCGTGTTTTTCCAGCTAGCTGATCTTTAATCAGTCTGAAATTGAGAGCATTCAGAATGAATAAATTTTACAACCGTACAGCTGTCCTATACAAGTAATTCACATTGAACAAAATTGCCGGCGCATTTCCTTTGTGGGCGGCCGCTCAGTTTCCGATCCACGGTGTTTCGTGAGTTAGAATAAGTTAATAAACACTGTGGATCGACGGGACTCTGCCTCAAAAGTCATGTATGACTTATGAGTAACAGGCAATTAAATAGATTATTGAGTACCTTACAAGACATTTTTGTGGCGGACAAATTTGCGACGACCGAAATTTTGGCGGTCCGAAAATATGGCGAAATTGAACAAAAACCGTCACATTTCGGACGTCACAGAAAATAAGGGTATTTTTCATCATTTTGTTTTCTGACACAAAGGAAATTCAAAATTTTCTAAAAATCGGTAAAATCATGTTGAAACAAAATGAAACTTATAAATCGATTTCTTCATCTTCCTCTAAGGGGTCCGGCTCGACTCTTTCAGTTTCACTTATTAAGTTTGGTATTAAATTGTTTATCTTGACTTAGTCTCTTATAAGACGTTTATGTTAGCACATAAATGTAATTTATTGTAAATTTAAAACGTATTACTTGACATTAAATTCATCATGGAATATTGTGTTTATTTGTCCCACCATCATATCACTAACTTTTCAAGAACAAAATGAATCGATGAAGCCACAATTATTGGAATAAGCTAAAAATAATGCGACGGATTCTATTACGACGACCGAAATTTTGGCGGTCCGAAAATATGGCGAAATTTCGGGAAAACCGTCGCATTTCGTACGTTATAAAAAAGTCTTGTAAGGTATTTAGGTTGTGGGACTCACTTGTTGAAGATGTGTTTAGCACATCTGCTATCTACAGCACTCAGAGGATCATCTAGAAGTATTATCGGGTCCTGTCCTGAAATATTTGACTGACTTATGGTATTAGCCGGCTTTTACGGTAATAGACCTCTAACAGCTGGTTAATCGTCTTCACAACATAACAAACAGGCTTATTTAGTTACTAACCGTAAACAGCTCTAGCTAAGTTGACCCGGGCTTTCTGTCCCCCACTTAACTGAACACCTCTCTCCCCGACTAATGTATACAGTCCACTCGGGAACAACTCTAAATCCTGCATAGATTGATTATTTGTTGCACTAGTAAGTACTCAGTTATATATATTTAGATAGGGTAAGTTGGTGGGCCAAATATCAATAAAACTAAAATGTAAACTGAAACCCCTAATAAAAATTGAAAATGATAACTTACTTTTGTTAGGTAGCAAGACTCGATACATTTGTTTAACTTTTCCTTATCAAGAGGTCTATTAAACAAAATATTCTCTTCGATATTCCCTGAAGAAGAAAAAGCAATTGACCTTAGTACCTTTAGTGCACGGCAAAACAAATATTTCTTTAACGTCTATTAGAATGAACTAATCATTAGAAAATTCTTAAGTTAACAAACTATTAACCAAAATACCGTTGAATATCCAAGGTACTTGTGAAGAAAATCCCACACTTCTATCAATGTTTAGAATTCCTTCGTGTTCTAACTCCTGTAGTAAGGACATAAGAAGGGTTGTCTTGCCACAAGCAACAGGTCCTACTACAGCGATAAGTTCTCCTTTTTTTACAGTAAGATTGAGACCTGCGATGAAGAAATTGTAGTTACATCACAAGAAAAAACTTATGCCTGCAAGTTTTCATCGTTACGTTGATTCTCTGCTATTAGAGAATAGAGATCCTTCAGTTACTGACAATTCAAATATAAACTGTGAACGAAACATAAGATGAGGAGCTCGCTGAAACTATACCCTTTAAAGAGAAGACATTGGGTCCCCATTTTGAAGAGAAATTGTCCAAAGTAACAGCCATTTCATTACTTTTAATCTTGGTACCTGTTAAAAGATTTGTTGAGGATTTACCAGCCTGCCCACATTTGGTGCTCCAATCTTAACTGCATCAAATTCAACAAACCATACAGAAGGCAAAGAAGAGGGGCTAATCACAAATGAATAGACTCTATTTTATAAAGTTTTTAAACTCTTTATACCTGTTTATAGAATTTCCAATCCATTGTTATTACTTGCCTCTGCATCCTTGTGTAAGAAACTCTTATTAACAATAACATCATTGGTAAGATTGGATATAGCCGCTTTTTTGTGGATATGCTTTATCTCGTCGGCATTCAAGAAATCCTGGAATTGAATAATGGTTATTTTTTGTGATTTCAATACCTCAGATATGCGTATTTAGGAAATAGTAAAACTAAAAGTCAGAGGTTATTGACATGGCTAATGGCTTCTTTAAATCTGTAGTGGCCACGTAATTAATTTAGATTCTATTATTGAGCGACCTTCGACCTGTGGACCATTCCATTTACCATTATGATCAATCAAAACATAGCATCTAAAAATTCTAATTCTAACCTCTATTCTTCTGAAGCTTGTGATGAGTTGAGAAATGTAAGAAAAGGCTCTTCCGAGGAACGCGTTGAGGTACGTGGTTAACGGATTGAGAATTAACAAGAAGAAAAATATTTCGGATGTCTTCATAGGTTCTTCAGCGTATGTTTTTACCTGCAGAACAGAATTTCAGATCTAAGTTTCTGACCTCCAGACTTCATTCGTTCTAAGAATACGAATAGAGGTCAGAAACGTAGATCTGTAAATTTCAAGGTTCGTGGTTTTCGTATTCCGTTAACGTTTTCGCAAAGGTGGACTCTTGTCTCAATTATAAAATCATGTATTACGATCACTAACAGATAAGATTGAAATGACCGATCCACTTACCGAAATTGCGATTAGTAATGACACGACAGGAATGGTATACCAGATAACACTCACAACTGATTGTGTCCACACAAATATCCCAATCAATACTGATTCTTTACGCCTAATCTGAAATTGATAATATAATCAGAGCACTATGGCAATTGCGCGACGGCAATTTATTAAACACAGTGAATGGTTCCCTGACTCTAGAGGCGAGTCTGAACGGAGCGGGTGAGACTGAGTTATAAACGTTCAATCACAAGCTGATACTGCTCCTAATAAAAAAGAAACAGGACTTTAGAAAACAGGACTGACATTTAATAGGAAATAAGGTTCACCTTTTCGACAAGTTTCTTGAACATAAGCTCCCATCCGTACATCTTTATCACCTTCATAAACAGTATTATTTCGTGTATTATCTTAACTCGTCTGTCCGTCAACACAGATACCTTCTCCCTGCATTTGTCGATTGTATTCTAATTGCATTTATATAAGATAAGGATTTTTGACGTTATAAATTAAAATTTCAAGCCACCCGGGGGATGAGGGAATTTGAACTAATCCTCCCTTAGAGAAATCAGGGGATTAACATTGTACTCTATGACCCCCTATTTCTACTGATCTATTGACATTACCTCAAGTAAGTAACAAGTCTCCCGATTCCAAGCTGGATAGGAACGCACAGTAACACAGGTACAAAAACAGCAAGAGTGTAATAGATTCCTAGTTCCGTGTACATTATAGCAAACGTGATTCCTAGGACAGCCCAGATACTAAAGAGCACATTTGTCATCAATATACCCTGAAACATTGTTTACTGTTCATGGCTTATCAGTGAGTAATTAATATGTTTTAACTATGGTAACTGAATCGGTTGAAGGGTGTACCCACACTCCACAGTTTAAATTGGTCTTAGACAAATTTGAGAGGCAAAAGATATCACGAAAATCAAAATGCAATTAATTCCTGAGCAATATATTGTTTAATGGATAACAAATATCTGTTCGTTTAATTGAATACCTCGTCTAGTCGTTGAGCATCGTTAGTGATAAGGTTTAGAATCAGACCAACTGATCTCTCCCCTATCTCTTGTTGCGTTATTCTGCAGACCTAATGAGCATTGTTGGGGATTTAAGTATGAATTTTTAACATACAGTATCTGTATACAATGTTAAAGTTCGCTATCATCAAATATCTAAAAATTATAATTCTAACCAATCTAAAGAAGTATAGGATAAATTATATTTAGAATTGGCAGTTGAATGGCTAACCTTTCTGTAGACGAGGCCCGTTATTTCGACCCTCAGTACAGTTCCGAGGTGCAAAAACCGGTAGTATAAATAACTTCTGAATCCCACCATTGTGAACATCATTAGTAATAAACAAACTGAAATTGTGATATTTAGTGACGATTTATTAACAATTTCTTTATCGAACTGTTATAGTCTTACGACCATAGAACACTAATGTTAAAAACCTTGGGCAATAATTTACTTATACAGTCGAACCTTATATACGGATACCGGGCCCCTTATGATACCGGGTACCTCTATATACCGGGCCTCTTGATACCGGGTACCTCTATATACCGGGCCTCTTGATACCCGGTACCTCCATATACCGGGCCTCTTGATACCGGGTACCTCTATATACCGGGCCTCTTGATACCCGGTACCTCTATATACCGGGCCCCTTGATACCGGGTACCTCTATATACCGGGCCCCTTGATACTGGGTACCTCTATATACCGGGCCTCTTGATACCGGGTACCTCTATATACCGGGCCCCTTGATACTGGGTACCTCCATATACCAGGCCTTTTCTTTCCCGGCTTATACTTTTAGTTTTAATCAATCACCCCTTGTTGCGAACAAATGTGATTTATCAGAGGACATATCGCATATTGGGTAGGTGATTTAAACTGTATATTGGGATCAATGTTCCCAGAGAGTTAGTTTGTATTACCTGACCACAGAAGAGCAGTTTTCTGCGTCATTTCTACAGCAGGATCAAAATATGAAGTTATACGTGCAACAATGAAAGGGACCGTACATCTAAACGCAGCCTGAAATTAGTATTATGAGGTTCGCGCAAAATCGGAATAACATACGGTTAATTGTAATAAATTATGTTGATCTGTTTATTAACAACTCAATGCACTTTATCATACAATACACAAAGGTATAATTTTAGTATTAATGTTAACATGATAAACTTGGAAATATTACTAAACCTCGAAATTGAATGCTACAAAAAGCCACAAGAAAGTAAAGCGATGTCTTTTCAGAACTGTAACAGCAAGAGACGGATTCTTTGTTTTCTCGATTTCTCGAAACCATTGCCTGGAAAAGATTTCACTCTTGAACGTTAATTGTAATTTATGAATTAAGAGAAATTACAATTATTTATCTTGCGGAATGTAAAAATTCCAAATTGATGTAACATTTTATATCTCATCCTCAAAGTCAAAAATTAAACAAACTGTTCCAGAAGAGCAGTCAATCGCTCGCTCTGTAGTCTTGGGTCGATTGGAAATATATCATCCTTTGTTAAAGGTCGTTTATATCCAGTTGTAAAAATCTTTTGTATCCACCTGATGTGTGATGATCGGTTAGAAAAAAGGATATCATCTTACAAGAAAAATGTACTGCAACAATATTTGGTCATCTCAGAATGGACAAATAATTATTCAATAAAAAATAACCGTGTCAAACTTTCTTCTTTAACATCTAACCAGTAATCTAGTAGTAGTACTACTCCAGATAATGATCAAAGGGATATAATTCCGAAAAACATAAAATAATAACTGAAATAACTGTGCTCACCAGAAGGTTAATGAACAGAAAATCCCAGCATTGACTTCAGGATTCCCATTTTGTTCAACCATGCCCTATTAACCTACCTTATCGGACATTATTTGACCAGACATTGCGTGAACGGACATAATTTTAAATGGATATTAGAATGAACGCTCAAAGGCATTCGAAACCACTAAAAACCCGAAATTTGTTCATATTTGTGGGTGTTTTTTGGGTCGTTAAGAAGCAAAAATGTTAATATATAGATGGCTCAATTAGCATCTTCGAGGGCTAATTTAGAAAAATCCCGAAATTGAATTGTCAAGTGGTTTAGCACGCTCGTGGCAACAAAAAAAATACAAAATCATCTCGCAGCTACAAGTAAAGAAACCTACATAAAACTGTATATTAAGACTAATCATTCGACTTCCTTCAATAATCGACTTCCGGCATCAGCTAAGAATTTGGTACGTCAGATACGTATTATTCCTAGAATTTCAATTACATTTACAGGATCGAACACCAAATTGCTTAACAATTAAATTCCGGGAAGAACTTGACTGCTTAAATATTATAGTGATCACATAAATTATAATATATAATCTTCGAAGCTTTCTCCGGAAGCTTTCTCCGGAATTCTAGCTTCCAGTACTCCAATCTTGTCTCGTGCCATCCACGGTGAACTCATTAATTGGTCACTGGACAAAATTTCCTCCAAAATGGTGCAATTTTAGTACAGTTAACCCTGCAGGAACTTCCTGGGGGAAATGGGACAGTTTGTTGATTTTCCGTTTTTTTCCCCGAGATTCTGACATTAAGTAGGTACCTAAGTTTTGTCTTATGTGATAAATAGGTAAAGAATGTAACTGTAAGCGGCCAAACTTTGGCTAATTTTTAAATAACCAGTGTTCATTTTGGGATCTACGTCCTATTTGTTTTTCCTAATTATTAGTACTTGAAAGTTCATTAATATTCGAAGTAACCCGCAGTATTCTTTTAAACCTTGTTATTGTGAATCTGATCGTACGACTGAGTTAATTTGACCTGGCTATAACAAAATCAAGAGATGAACTGTTATTCCCAGTTTGCCGCCAGGGCCCCTGAGGGTACAGGAGCACGGACAGGGATTTGCAGAGACTGCAGCAACTGATCCGCCCTTAAATGTTGTAACGGGGCTATAAGTGTGCTGCTTTATACATTCCCAGCCGCATTATACACACCTATAATTACGGGATTTACTGGAGATCCTTACCCTTGGCCTTAGGGCCCCGAAACCTGGCAGTCATTAGAGGGCAGGGTGCCCACGTGCCGGCTTCAGGACCACGTGCTACACCGAGCATAGTTGTTAAGTTCGTCGAAGAAATGCGAAAAGTTCGTCCAGTTCGGCACCTTTTAAAAATTCGTGAAAATTCGTGAAAATTCGTTGCGTAAATTTTCTTGGCATATGTTTTGATTTTATAATGAATGGCTTAGGTGCGATCACTATTACACTTGTAAACAAATGATACAGTTAGATAGTTATACATACTTGTATTGAAAAAAAAAACTAGATCAACAACAGATCATGACTAGTACTTCAATATAAACAGAGCTGGTTCACAGATTACAATTAAGCATCAATTATAGCAACAGCTCTCAAAATTTAGAAAATTGGTATTTCAATTGTCCAGTGATCTGAATTTTGGGAGGTCATCAAAAATTCGGTTAAAGTTCGTCTATTTCGTTAAAAAATTCGTCCAGTTCGGCACCTTTTTAAAGTTCGTCCAGGACGTCCGTAACAACTATGACACCGAGTGATAAGTGTGTGAACAGGTCACGCGGAAGCCTTGAGACCACGTGATATTCTGAGTGATAAGTGCTATACCAGGTCACGCGGAAGCCATAAGGTCAGGTGACATGTCAACTGATAAGAGATCTATCAGCTGCTGCGATCACGTGAGCAGTCCATACTCGTGACAATCACGTGACGCTTTTATGTCATTAACTGCTCTTCAATGCTCTAGCACAATTTTCTAATGCCCCTGCTGCAAGGCTTTCAAGGGCAGACTTACGATAATTGCTCTTCAAAGAAAATTATATAAGTTCAGATTTCATTAATTGCTTTGTTAAAGACAAATTATATCGGAGATTTGAACCTCAGTGTTACATTTACAATGGGAGCGGTTGTTAACGCGAGGAAGAGATAATGACAGAAACTTGGTACAATTATAGCTCGTAGTGAAGCGGGTAAATGGTTTACAGGATGCTGGCCCGAGTAGTTTTAATTCTTTGATATATCAATTAGATTTTTAGGGAAAACTTGATTAAATAGATTATGGTATCAATCAATTGCAAGGAAAACACCAATTAATCAGCATTAACTATTTCTGTATTAAACCTGTTGCTTATTGAGAAACTTAGTTTTTACTGTCTTCGAAACCAACGGCAATTTAGTCATCACTGTATCCTGTACACGTCTCTGTATCACTTCCCTTGGGTTCGTTGAAAGAAAGTCACGTATAAAATTATAAGATTCCCTGAAAACCAACGGAATCTATCCTTAATCATATAACTTTATACCGCACTCAGCGATATTTCCCAAGTCTGTCACACTGCTGAACTGTAACCTCCCACAACTTTCTCTGAATAACCGGGTCTATGCTAGCCTCAGGTAAATCCACCGGTTTACAATCACTAAAGTAGGCCCCACTGTGCTTGCTCATGTCCTGTGTACAGCAATAAACCATGCTTTCAGCACCTCGCTCGGGTGTCTTCATCAGAGGTGTGAAGACAAGCCCCAGACATTTCAAACAGCACATGTTCCGACCAAGAGACGTCTTAGTTGCACCAGGGTTCACGGCAACAGTTGTTATCTCCGGATGACGAGCAGTCAGCTCTTTAGCGAAGTAGATCCGGGCACGGTTACTCATGGCATACTGCACCCAGTCAGACTTGAAGGTCCGGTTTTCCAGGGGTTTAAAGAGGACGGGAGTGTTTCCTTGTACTTCAAGATGGTCCGGGGTAATGTCACCTCCCTTGTGTGTGTCTGCGGACAGCATCACCACCAAACCACGGGAACGTATTAAGTACTCGCCTAGAAGAAAAGGGGTCATTTTCCTGAAGGTTCTATGGTATTTTATCTAGTGCTAACAGTGCCACTGCCGGTTTGGATGGACCACTTGGAAGCGGAACTTACAAAAATAGCTAGCGAAATGATCAGCTTTCGTTAAATCAAGACATTAAAGTTAACAAATATAATGACCTAGAAGTTTAGTTAAGTAGAAGTGACCGAGATAGTTTATTCCCATGGTAGTCTCTATATTGTCCTCAGTGCTGTCGAAGGGAGGACTCCACACCCCTGCATTGTTTATTAGAATGTCCAACTTTGAGAAGCACGCTGAAAAGTCCTTCACAAAGTCTGATATACTTTGAAATGAGGCCAAATCTAGCAGGAAATAACTCACCTGTTAATTGTTTATGAGGGTAAGTGAAAATGTGAATCTTGTCGAGAGCAACATGTACAGCATTCTATAATGTCCTCATTCATTATGAATGTTGATTGATGGATTTAGATATGGAAAACCTAGATCCATGTAATAACAACTTGTAGTGAGGTTTAACGGCAATAAGCAGTACATTTGATACTATAAGTCAAAGTGATATTTGCTGAAAATCGCGACCTAAGTAACCGAGTAACCTTTTCATTTTTAGTGAGAGCCTTGATTTCCTCCACTACAGTCTCGCAGCTCTCCTTGCTCCGGCCACCAATGACAACTTCTGCTTTCTTCCGGGCTAGTTCAAAGGCAGCCGCCCTTCCCAGCCCAACATTTCCACCAGTGATAAGAACAGTTTTACCAGACAAATCCCCAGCCATGATGGATGATATACGTGCTTCGAAGTAAATCAACAAGCAAATGTACAAGGAAGAATCTATCTAATAATAATAATGTTTTTGCTAAACAAAACCCGGTAACTTTAAGGTACTTGGCTTTCACCTTCAATGCAATCTCTTATTTTATTCAATTCCAACGCAGCAATTAAATAACGATTATGAAATATGCAGATCACAATATATTTGTAGATGTAAAATATCGTAGCAAGTAATGCATCGTGGGTTTGGGGTTGATAAACTACAGGTACAATTTAAAAGTAGTAGAACAACTGGATCACGGATAAAATAAAATTAAGCTTCGTTTTAATTTTGTGGGGAATTACAAACGAGAAAGTTAATGCTTAAGCAACAACAAACAATGTTTTGTACGGTGATCGAATCTAGAGATTTTAAAAAGTAAGCGGTAGGAACAGCTACAAACCAACACAGTTCAACGTGTTTTCCAACTTTAGTTTCCAGATACACTTCACAGTACATGGACAAGCGTCATGCAGGTTAATTTGATGACGTGGCATGCTCATGTACTACGGATGTAGACAAAATTCCTGTTTAATGTTACTCATTTTTGCCTGGGGACCTCAGGCTATCATGTTATGATAGCGGAATGACAGGCTGAATGACATAACAGGCTGAGCCCAGTAAACTTTACCTGAGGACCCCAGGCTATTATGTTCATTAACATAATAAAGATTTGGCGGAATGACAGGCTGAGCGCGGCCCAGTAAAGTAAACTCAATTAGGTGCCATTTGTATCTCCGCAAAATAAATACCCATGCGTACCCATCAAATTAATGCATCGCAATAATTTTGTTCAAACCTCACGTTACTGGGTTGTAGCGCGATGCGTTACTGTGCCGCGTTGCGCACTCAATGAGGCTTCTCACAGCGACAGATTGGCAAAATGCGCTACTGTGCCGCGCCAAGCTGCCATGAATTGACATCGTCAATTAAGTTACTGGGCGGCGTTTAAAATATTTTTTGAAACATATCTCAAACTATTTCCGGCCCGGCCGTTTGCATTCAAATGCATAATTTTGGTTCATGGCACACGTCAACTTCAAATTTATATTGTAAGTGCAGAATCAAATATAAATATACTCCGCATCGCTTTCAGCTTTGCTATTATCCGTCAAATACACGTCATATAATGTCATGTTGTGTAATTAGGGATATGGGAATTTTTGACCAGGTTTACCATGCTGGGGGTTAGTGCATAGTGTTACTGTTAGTGTTTACTGTGCCGCGCTCAGTCTGTCATTCTGCCGAATCTCTATGATTATGAACATAAATTGTAAATATAATAGCCTGAGGTCCGGTGGCGATTACGTTTTCACCTCTTGAGGGAATCCTACGCATGTTGTTAACTGTCAGACTTTGGACGAGGAAATGTTCTCGCGCCGTACGTTTATTATGGTAAAGCATTTCGGTACCAGAACGATAAATCTGTTTAAAATAAAAAGTTAAAAAGTTCGAAAATAGAGTGTTTTAGTGAATAACTTAGAATATATTTTTGATTTTCTCAAGGTCTGACTGATAGATTTTCTTTAAACTTTCCAGATAGTTACAAGGCTATATGACGGATAATGTGTGAGAGTTTGGGAGAATTTATATGTGCCAAACTTGAGATATAATGACTTCAAACACAAGAAAATATATATATACAAGATATTGCGAGCGTCCTGTTACTCTCTTAGATGCAATATCTGTAAAGTATTGGATGAGAACTGATTTTAAGTAAGGATTTTAAATTAAGTTCAGGATTATAAAAAAATTCTCCGATTTGCAGTTCGAATAATATGTGCTTGTGATGCATCCGGCATCAGCATAATCTCAGAGGAAACATCTCTCGTGTGCATATCTTTTTTATCTTTTTTAGCAGAACTCTTTCCTCAGAAAGTCACCGAGTAAAAATGAAAAAGTCAGATGACTGTAACAAAGCAGCAGAAATCCCACACATTAATAGCCCTCTCTCATCACTATGCTTATTATCAAACATGTCAATCTTACAAATGTCAACAATCCTAAAATAATTTAGAACCGAAACGTGATCCTTTGTAAAATTATATGTCCCAATAATCAAATTGACTTGTACTCAAGTATAAAGTTAAACAATTTACTCCAATAACCACGGTCACTAGCAAGTTCTCTCAAATGGAGAATATCATCATACGACTCCAGCAAGATGAAGCGCTTCCAGAGGTCAACCTTCAGGTGGTGCAGGATCGAGGTTACGTCTGTGAGCCCCGAGTCTACCAACTTCACTACACATATCGACAGCAAAACACAGCGCAGCTTGAGCTGGTGATCTTTCATCGCTCCTCAGTATGTGTCCTAGCATCTTCCACCTAGATAACTCAGCACGCTCAGACATAGGGGTAGAGTTACTCTGTTTGTAGAGGGTATCTTTGGACATCATACTGCGTGGCCAGCTGACATTCATGATCTTTCTGAGGTGGTTACGGTGACATGCATCTAGTTTGTCCCAGTACGATTTAGGCATTCCCCAGCAACTAGAGTTATACATGAGGATAGATACTACTTGGGCCTCATAGACCTTCAGCTTCTTCTGTAGGGGGATCTTACTCTGGCACCAGACCTTCTTGAAGTTCTGGAATGCTACATTGGCTAACATGATTCTTCTGGTGACATCTTTCCTACTTTCTAGCAGAGAACCCAACAACTTGCTACTGCACCATTCTTCATTCATTCTAAGGGGTTTACCATCATCTATGACCTCATCTTTCCCAGCTATGTAGACGTGTACATCACTATGCTGAAATTAAAAATATAATTTTTGACTGTACAATGGTAAGTAACTTTTCAAATCTCAATCAGGTTTTAATTATCTCAGTTACTCGCCAGATTTTAAACGATTAGGCGCTAGACAGTATGATTCTAAAGATTTACAATCTTAAATTTTGTACTACCTTTGTTCATCCTTAGAACAACATTACGAAGTACTCCAGCGGACAAAGTACTCCAGCGGAGGAAGTACTCCAGCGGACATCTGAGCAGAAACGATTTCACTCGACCAAGGTACTGGAGCTGAAAAATTTTGAGTCATATTTCTTTTGTAAACAAGTGAAAAAGAAGTACTAAATTACAAACAATGTCATTAAGCTTATTAGCGATCATGGATGAAGATAACAATGTAATTAGGAACAATGTAAACATGGAATGCAGCATCGTATTGATTGAGTGGGTCTCAGAATTAATTTGAAGATAACACACTTTAAAAAAAGTTTAAAGCAGTCTGTCGGATTAACAAGTAAAAGAAATACAGTAGTCCCGGTAATAAAGCTTTAATATACTCATGAGGAACAGTGTGTAAAAAATAACATTAAAATAATTTACTGGCTAAACATTTCAGGTTACTAAATGATTGAAAGTGCCTGTGTACTACTGCATAGTACATAATACTGTGTAGTGTGTACTATTTACTGAGTTATATTAATATATCGTGTATTGCTGGGAAGGCTGTTAATTTAGGATAGAGTTATTGTGGCACTTATATCAGTTTGTTCTTTTGTAGTTGTTCTCAAACTGCTGAGTAAAAGTTTTACAACTTAAAAGTAGTGTTTATAATTTAATTTATTATTGTTATTATTTCAAATATAACAAAAGCTTGGCGGTCGATCATAGTTTCGCAACGTCTATCCCAAATTTAAAATTATTCTACACAGCCCACCTGTATAACATCAACCCAGGAAGTTATTAAAAGCAAAGCAGCGTGTACGAAACCATAGTATCAAAACTTCCTTTTCTCTTAATCTCTTAAAATATTGTACTAAGAACTAAAACAAATTCAATTGGGAATTGAAAGCAGTCTTCATTACGAAATTTAATACACATGACTCACTCCATGCACTAACAAAATTAAAATAATAGACCGAATAGAAATTACATCAAAGATCAATTAACAAGTATATTAATTGAGTGTATCATTAATTAAGTCCTCCAAATCCAGAGCACTGGAAGAGAGGCTGGGTTGAGTGATAAGTGAAGAAGTGAGGAAAGCTCATTATAATGATTACGTGAACATGTTACATGCTAGTGGAATGAGTATACTAGTATAGATACACCTGTAGGTACTTCAAGGGGCTTTCCAGAGACTGATGAAAAGGGTGATGGGCTTATATTACAGTATTTCGGTTGTAGTTGGAGCTAGGAGAGAAGTTGCCCAGGGTTTGGAGAGTAATTTGTTGTTAAGGATTCAGACAGCCTGACAGGAAACAGTTACCAGAGATTTTGACGCTGCCGTTGGATTTATTTTTTGCACTTCTCTCCCAAGATGTGTATCGCGATTATTGACGTCCTCGGCGATTTTAAGTATGGTCTTCCTAATATCCGTAGAGTTGAACCAGAATCTGTTGGGGGTCGTTTCCACCACTAAATGCCCAGAGAAACCCAAAGCATAGAGGTCCACACGAGAAGTTATCCGTCTGCTGTTGGCACGGCATGGCATTGATATATTTCACATTCCTTGCTGTTGGATGTTCTTCTCTTGAACAGACGAAAATCCGGTCACCATCCTCAGGCGATTTAGTTGCTACAGGAACTAGCAGGCGATTATCAATCTACGTTGCTGGCTCTATTTTCCTAAACTCTAAAGAGTGGAGGAATGGTAACAGGCTTCACTCCCTATTCCACTCACTGACTGGTCGAGAGGCCGACTTCCAGCCCCCTCATTACTAGGGGGCCCAGGGAGATCAGATCATGTCACTAATTAGTGACGTATAATTAGTAATGTGATCCATCAGTAGAATTTAACTAACCTAGAAATGGTAGAGTTCACATGTACATCATAGCTGTGCATTAAGAAGTAAACATGATCTTTAAGATTTGACCGCTCGACTCGTATAACTATATCACATAAGGGACAGGAGCTCTTGCTAAAGAGGGGTTCTTGTATCTAGGGATATGGATGTGAGACGTACGTGCCAAAGGCATGCAACGGGAGTGAGCCGATCAAGTGTTCTTAG